CCGGCGGTGGGGGCTGGCCGGCCCGCCGGGGTTGCTCAGCGTTGGCTGCCGAGGGCCGGGGCAGGCTGAGCTGCACCAGATTTGTCCTTGCCCGGTGTAAGGCGAAAACAACCTTCCCAGAGCAGGAACCGGAGAACAAAAGGAAACTTCCTTGCACTTACTAAATCCCTAAACTTGGAAAACGTGCCCGATTTCCAAGTGCTCAGAGTTGTTGAGAAGTGGAAGGGACTTTTGGAGATCATGTAGTCGAACCCACCTGCTCAAGCAGGATCAGCTACAGCATGTTGCCCAGGACCTACTCTAGATGGCTTTTGAATATCTGCGAGGACGGAGACTTCACAGCCTCTCTGGGCAACCCGTTCCAGTGTTCAACCACCCTTATAATGAAGAAGCTTTTCCTTAGATTGAGATGGAACTTCCTGTGTTTTGCTTTGTGCTAATTGCCTCTTGACCTGTCACTGTGTGCCACCAAGAAGAGTCTGGCTCCATCCTCTTTACCCCCTCCCTTCAGATATTTCTATCCATTGATAAGATCACCCCGAGCCTTCTCTTTTCTAGGCTAAACAATCCCGGCTCACTCAGCCTTTCCTCATATGAGTCCCTTAATCATTTGAGTAGCCCTTTGCATGTGACCTCCTCCCAGGGTGCAGGACTTTGCACTTTATGAGGTCTCTCTCTGCCCTTCTCTCCAGTCTGTTGAGGTCCCCCTGAATGGCAGCACAACTGTCTGGTGTATCAGCCACTCCTCCCACTTTTGTATCATCTAGATCAGTAATGTGTAAGCTGCACCAAGATTGGACCCAGTACTGACCCCTGGGGTATAGCGCTAGTTATACCCCTCCAACTACACTCCATGCCACTGATCACAACCCTCTGAGCTTTGCCGTTCAGTCAGTTTTCAGTCTATGTCACTGCTTGTCTAGCCTGCGCTTCATCAGATTGTCTATGAGGGTATTATGGCAGACTGTCAAAAACATTACTAAAGTTGAAATAAACGTCCACTGCTCTCTCCTCATCCACCAAGCCAGTCATATCGTAGAAGGCTCTCAAGTTGGTTAAGCATGATTTCCCCTTTGTAAATCCATGCTGACTACTCCCAATCAACTTCTTGTCTTTCATGGGCCTGGAAATAGTATCCAGAATTAGTTGGTCTATCACCTTCCCAGGGATCGAGATGAGTCTGATGGGTCCATGGTTCCCTGATTTCCTTCTCACCAAAGCTGTAGAATGATCAGGTCAGCTGTAAGCAGGACAGTTACAGCCTTGTACCTTGGCTATGTTTTCTTTATTCTTCCTTCTTGGTTTTTGTTTAGGTCAGGGTTGTAGAAACAAGAAGAGACACACTCTGTGCTTGTGAATCCTTGAGGCTTTTGTCCATGTTTAGAGTTATGCTTCAAAACTTATCTTGATGGTATAGCATCATGAATTGTATTCAATCCAAAAGTGAAATGATAGCATTCTTTAGAATCAAATATACATGATTTCTTTTGAGGAATTTCAAAAGTTTTGCTTATTTAGCTTAGCTTTTTGTTAGAAGATAGATTTTGAATGTTTTTTATCCTAAGATTCATTTTAAATTATGAAAATGAGATTTTGAATGGCATGTCTTCAATTTCTTTCTTTAGATTGCATCTGATTCAAGAAAGGAAAACAATTTTGGTAGAAGTACCTTGCTGAAGCAGAGACCAACCATGTTGCCTGACCTTGATAATGACACTCCACGGTTTATGCTCAAAAGAATTATCCGGACCCGTAAGTAGCTTTTTTCAGGAAAGCAGGGAGCATAAGTACAATACTTTGACAGAGCTGAGAACAGAAGGTGTTCATTTGTAGCCTGTTATTCTTATCCTGTTGTACAGAACATACATTCAGATCATTTTATGACCAATTATATAAAAGAGTAGTGGCAGCTGAATGAGGTCGTGTGAGACAGCTCTGTTTCAAAGACCAGGTCTTGCATTGATGAAAATGTATTTTTGAAAATTCTCTTCACTCAATCTTCTTATCCTGGGGGACAAGCAAGTAATCTTAGTGTTGCCTTTAGCTGTAAGATCATGTATAAATTAGAGGTACTCACTGCTACAAACTTCAGTTCACCTCTACTGCAGTGTATGGAATGCTGGCTGCTGCTGTTTTGTCAGTGTTAGCCTCGTATGTGCCAGCTGTCCTAGGAGTAGATCCCAAATTGTTTTCATCAGCTCTCTATTTTAATCATTAATAAAGGTAATGTAAGGAAAGCAGTGTGTATTTGACACTTTGTTACATTTTAACATTCTTGCTAGATTGAATTCTGGAAATGAAATGTTTTGGTTTGTTGGCAGAACCACAAGTTTCACCTCTAGCACCTCAAATATCTAAGCATGAAGTAACAGAAGAAGCTGGATTAGAACTATCCTCTAAGAGGATTTCCAGCACGTAAGTAATTTTTTTTATCTACCAGGTATAGCTGCAGTTCCTATAACATCGGTGAGGTTGGGAAGCAGGACTTACTTCTATTTAAGTGATCAGAATTGCATTCTATTATGCAGGATTTTCAGAAATATCTCTCCAGCTTTAAAAGCATTTTTTATGTTAATTTTTAAGGTGTGCTAAGTTTTGTGCTTAGTCCCTTCTTTCATCTGGAGACTTTTAATATTTTTCCAGTGGAAGTACTGGATACAATAAGTTTAAGTTTCCTGATGGAAGCCTACTTTCCTTATTTGTCTGTGATGGAAACTGAAACAGTAGTTTCTGGACCTCCTCAAGGCTACAGGTCACATGCTCCTGGAGTGTAATCACGTGGCTGGATCTTTGCAGGGTTTTCTATTCCATATGTTAGCTAGTTGTTGAAGTTAAGGAAAAAACTGTCTATACCTTTTTAAAACAAACAAACAAAAACCTTCTCCACAGCACTCCTTTACTTAGTGTGAACTGTCTTGAACTTGTGAATGCACTGCTTTCCCTATCTGTTGTAATATCTTCCAGAATAGATGCAAAGAACAAGCAATCTTGGTTTTTTTCTCACTATTTTACATTTTTTTCCATTACAAGCTAGTTAATTCTAATACCCACACTTATGTTTGTAACGAGTAATGAAATTCAATTACACTTCTAACTGGTAAAGAATGTATATTTTTAAGGGAAAAAGGCCCAAAACATCAACACTTGACATTTCTTGCTATGTTGAAGGCACTTTTGTTGAGGCAAAGGATACAGAATTCTACATCTCCCGAAACGTGGTCATCTTACTATGGGATTAACTCTTTGCAGGACACAGTGGGGAGAACTGAGTAGCTGGGCAGCAGTTTGCTGACTGAATTTGACCTTCATGTGAAGTGGTTCTTGGGACTCCTTATTAAAGGGGGAAAACACTCTGAAGCTTATTTTCTTTTCCTGATCCAGTGCCTGACTATGGTATTATATGTGTATTCTGTGTACCAGTGTGCTTTGTAATACCTTATGTTGTTTCATGATGATGGCTTTTTCATTTACACAGTAATGTTTGACAAACTTAATTTTTGCTGTGCGCTGTTATAAGAAGAGATTTATGGAGCTTCTTGGAAGTCCAAAATTTCACTTTAGTCTGAAGTGTCACGGGCCTGTTATTTTGAATATACATTCAAGTTTTGATTCTCTTACTTTGTGAAATTTACTTTGATTTAGTAGGAGGGAATGACACATTCCTACATTTGCTGAACAAATCACTGCTTGGTTCCATATTTCTCCTGCAGCAAGGACAATAATTTCCATTTGCTTTCCAGCAACATTACAGGGACCTTTCTGGGGTGTCCAAAGTGATAATGTTGTCCTTTGCTAAAGGCTTGGTTTCTATTGGTAGGGTGGAAATACAGCTGCCAGACCTTGTTCCTGAGGATACGTCTATGACCAAATTCCATATGACTAGAAAGAAAAAGAAGTTCAGCATTTCTGAGTTTGAGAGAGCAGCAGACAAGCGACTTCCTCAGAACCAGAGTAAGGCCACAGTCAAGGATTATTTTGCTCAACATTGCGTTTGTTGTGAATTGATCCTTTTTATCTGCCGCAGTTTAGTTGTTAGTAACATCTCAGCTGGGCAAGCCTTTAGTACCTTGTGCAAGGGTGATAGCAGAGAAGGTAAAAGTCCCTATCAAGTTTAAAATAGATCTTTTTGAGCCGAGCCACAGGCTCTACCCCGATCGTATATGACTTCTGGAGTATTTTTCCACGTTGATGTTCTTGAGTTAAAGTTTCTCCAGAAGGAATAGAAACAGCAGTCCCTGTCTTTTGCTTAGTTCCAGAAACTTGAAAATAGAACAAGCTGCATACATTTTGTCACATTTATTATTTGAGGAAAAAGAGCCTTGTAATTTAAAAAAATGTTTTTTGTAATATTTAAAAAAAGATATAATATTTAGTAAAGGGTTACTGAAGGATTGTTGTGATGAGGCCCTAGCATCTTGCTATTAGTGTGGTGAGATTAATATTGTTGAGCATGAGGACATCTTCCATACTAAATTGCCTTTGAAATAACTATTTTATTTCCCTCACAGAAATTGTTCTAGAATTCTAACAAGCAGTTCTGGAATGCAGACTAGAAATCATGAAATGAACCTATTGTCTAATTCTATTCTCACTAAAATGTAACTTTTGAGATTTGTAGCATAACTGGTTCTAAGAAGTGGAAGATCTGTTGGGTTATTCCTGTAGATCATTGTGTAGGGGGTAATTTCTCAGCTAATGTGTCACCAACTTTTTTTAGCTCAGTCAACGTTGGACAGCACTTCTTTGGCCAGGTGAGTTTAAACTAAAATGTTTTAACTTCTGGCTGTTTTAATTTATAGCTCCCTTGGTTCATCATCTCTGTAATTGAGAAGAACAATAGAGATAATTGGGTTCATGATAGAGTTAGTAAGAGCAAGATCATCTTATGCTTTCGTGACGGAACTTGAAGGTGTTACATCCTTGTGATTTTCAGAAATTGCGTCTGGGAGAGAGTTTTTAATAAGTTCTATTTGATGATTTTTTTTTTTGCACTGCATGTCCAGATTGGTCTAGTTTGTACTGCTACTATTGCTCCTGCCTGTCTGCAAAGACTTCACTGTCCCTCTTTTTACTTCTTAGAATCATTCCTTTTTTCCTCCTGTTTTCATGTTCGCAACAACAAATCAGTGCACAATATAACTTAGAATATTATCTTTACCTGTTAGTTGACTCATCAGATCGGTCAAATCAGTGCAGCCTTTAGTCCAGCTTTCCTGGGCTTAAAATACCTTTTAACAAGTGAAGAACTTTTTACCTGTGTTGCCCTTGTACTTTGCTAGTGATCCTGGCCATGGTTATCGATTTTTTCCACCTTTCTCAATGCAGCCTTTGCCTGTGGTCCTATGCCAGCTGATTTATAAGGCTGCATACTGTTCTTCCTATCTTTTAATTCTTCTGAATCCCCTTTTTGATTGGGCTACCTAGTGAGAGGGACAAGAGATGACTGAGCATGGCTAGTCTTTTTAGGGTACAAAATTCAGATACATACACAGATACATCTGTGCTTTGCGTGTTGCTGTCTTAGCCCCCATCCTGAAAACTTTATGGTCTATTGGCAGCTCTAGTTTGCTGTGAATACTGGGGGTATGTCCATACTAAGCATCATCTTAAGACTTGCTCTTAAGGCCTTCTCCTCCTCCACCCCATCTAGAGGACATCATCTTTACTATACTCTCTACTAAACATCTGTTTTCCTTCTTTCATTATTTAAAACCTTAAGATTCCTGAACCTTTTGTCAAATATACTTTTGCAACCCTTTCTGGGTAGGAGACTGTAAAACCAGTTTGATTCCCGATTTCTGTGATACATGTTCTGATGTTAGGTAATATACGGAAGTTAAACTAGTTGTTTAAAATAAGCTGTCAGATAATCTTCGTCAAGTTTTTGTGGGAAATCTCTGTTAGCTAAAGGATTGGTGCAATGTTGCACTCTTAGTGGCACCATGTCTGTAGTCTGAGGGTAAAAGGGGAACGTGTAGGTTTGGAGAGTTACCTCTTCCATCCTCCTCTGCCCTTTTTTACAGATCTCTTCGCCTGTCTCTTGGCTCCTTGATCCCACCAGACCCTATGGAAAAGAGAGGCTTACTCCGGAGGCCAAAAAATCGCAAAGCTGTTGACATGGAAGCTTTTGAAGGTGGAGTGGAACAGAACATGCTGCAGAGAAAAGGTTTCTTTCATGTTGTTACCTGGGATTTGGGAGGTAGAGTCTTACAGGAGATGATGTCTTAGAAGCAGTTGCTGAAATGTTGTTTGTATCTTAGGATTTATAGGTTATTCACATGTTCACACAAGGCCAGTATAATTTGGGAGGCAAAATTAGAAACAAGACTCTGCATCTGTAGTTGCTTTGATTCTGCGTGCATTAATATGTGCTCTACCCAGTTTGGTAATCTACAACACAGGCATTGTATCCTGTTTGGGATCATGTTCATAAATGTGTATTCTGGGGAGAGAGTTTGGTAAAGAAGGTTATGGGCACTGATATGTGGTGATATAGAGGCTCACTATTTGGTCTATGCAGGATGGATAAAATTTGAATAAATGACTTAGATTTCAAATTATGCAAGTGCTGGTAATAAATGTGTTTCCCAATGGCCCTGAGCAGTTTTTCACATTGATTTTATTTTAAAACTTCCTAAACAGCACAGAACTACCTTGTGGACTTGCAAACAGCATCCAGGATTAGAACAGCCACGCTGACGAGTGACGCAGAAGTTGTGATGAGTAACACTGAGCTCTTTGTTCAGCCTCAGTTTGGTGAGCAGAGCCAACAAAGGCTTTCTGCTCTTGAACCACAGCTACTAGAATCAAAAATTCCAGCACAAGGAAGCTCGGCTTTTGATTCAGCTCATGAGGATGCAAGGCTGGTGGGCCTGGTACCCAGCATGGGCACAAATGAGGGAAGGACCCAAAGATATTCTGAGAAAAACTTAATCCTTGATTATGAACATGTTGGCAGAATGACTCCTGTGTCTCAGAAAACATCTTTGAGCCAGGGAGAGGATCATCAAGGTCATTCCTACCAGAGTGACCCCATGGAGCAATTTTCTGTACCAGAGGAAGTGGTGGCTGGCAGTGAGTACTATGGGTTAGGACTTGGGGGTAGAAGATATTATCTGCAATTAGTCGCAAATATGATGGCACAAACTATGTAGGAGCTATAGACAGAGTTAGAAGGAGCCTTAGGAGGTTACTAGTCTAGACCTTTAGGCTGGTTAGATCAAATATATGTCTTCTCTACCTCCTTGGCCATCTCCAGTATCTTAAAAATCCTTTTGACAGAGGTAGTACCCTCCCTGGTTAGACTGTTCCAGTGCTTTGTAATTCCCATCATTTGCCAGTTTTCTTTTAATATTCAGTATATCTCCTTTGTGTAGGTTTGCCTGTAACACCTTGTGCTGGCTATGTAAATGGGAGCATATTTTCCTCATTGTGCATAGACTGGGCCCCAAGGCATGGCTGTAACCCTAAGACTTTCTGCTCAGTGACCTCATGGCAACCAGCCAGGACAGGGTCTGGCTTAGTGAATAGCTTTGTGCAGTTCTTTGTGGAAAACCTACAGTATTTTGATTGAAGTACAGAAAGCTAATATTTCTTTTTCATTCAGTTTTTTATTTATAACCCTTTGTCAGAAGGGCCACAGAAACGAGTAAGTATTTAAAGAATGTTTTGGTGCATTCAGGACTGTACAAGCCAGGAATAAGGAGAGGTGTTCTTGTTATGGGAAGCTTAGAAATGAACTAATGCCTGGTGTCCTGGAGGACAATTGCAGTATACTGTGTTTCTGGAGGGTTGTCTGTGGCAAGCTTGGTAGAAAAAAATGGTTTGAAAAGGTGAGGGAGAGGTGAACTGAAAAAGGTTAATTGGTCTGAAGAGTCAAATGGTAGGGACTTTCAGGGCAAATGGACAGATAACATCAAGGAAACCTGGAAGACATGGAATGGGGGACTGGATCAGATGAGAGGAAGAGAGGTATGACAGTGCATCTTAAAGATGCTGGAGTTTTTGAGCCATTAATGTCAAAGGCTAATGATTACGTAGTTCTGCTGCTGTTTTGCCAAAGGTAGCTACTGTTGAATTGCTCCTCAGTATGAACTGAAAAAATAGTTGCAAGGACAAAAATAGTTGCAAGGACTTTTCTATCTGTTTCCTAAGAATGCAAACTCTCTAAACTGTTATGAGTAAAGCAAGAGCACTTTCCTGTATGTATTTCTCCCTCTGCCTGGTTGGGTTTTTACTTATCAGAAAGGTCGAAAGAAAGTTTAAAAGGGCACTGGGGGCAGCATTAATGCTCTCAATTTCTAGCTACTAATAGATGGAGCTATTAGTAAGATTTCTCCAAATAGCTATCTCTGTGGGGCACTGCTGGAACTGAGCTGTGTCATAACAGACATGGACTATAGTTTTAGTAGGTAGGGGAAAAAGAACACTTATCAGTAGCTGAAGACATGCCATTCATGTATTTGGTTTCTCCCCGTCCTGCCTGCTAGAGGCTTTTCTGGGATGGGTAATAACCCTGCTAAGCACTCTCTTCTTTGTAGTGAAGCGTGTCTTTTCCAAAATTGTTTATTCAGAACAACTAAGGGTGTGCTTAGTCCTCTATACCTGTGAGCTGGAGATAGCAGCACAAACTCCAGACATCACTAGCTTTAAAGAAAAAATATATTGGTCTTTTACACAACCACCTAAAGTGAGAATAGATATGTAAATGTTAAATCTTGAAGAGATACAGTTAGTGATAAGTACATTTCTTGCCTTCCTTAGGATTTGACGTAAACCCTAAATAGATGGCTCTAGAGCAAATAGAAGGAGAAGTTGTGTATTTTTCAGCCATAAATTTTTGGAAGGGAACTGGATCTGCTTTGCTTATTTCTAGCTTTTGGTTATTGCTGAGTTTACTTATGATTAAATTTCAATGGTTTTTGAATTGTATGCTGGTATTTGGTGGGGGTTTTTTGGAGGGGAGACTGATAGAATTTCTTTTTTTAGCTACAGAGCATCATGCAAACACTGGATATTCTGAACAGTTGGAGAAAAAACTGACAAAAATCCCAGAATCACAGATAACTAAGGTGCAAGATGCCAGAGTCGAGACAGAAATGACTCCTTCAGAAGAAGAGAAGGTAGCAGAAGGCAGTGTTGAACACCTAGACTCTCCCAAAACTGGTGAGAACAATCTTCAGACTAGTACCTCTCCAGGTGTGTCATTGGCGTCAGTGTTGGGAGAGAGCCTTATTAATTAACTCTGCGTTCTGGAGTCTGGGCATTTGAGCTAAAAGACTGTATTTGTAGGCGTCTGAATGTTGATGTAGGGCATCCAGTCACAAAAGTCTATTTCTGTCTTGTGAGGCTTATGCTTTCCTGATACATTTAGAACATGGCTCTCCATATCTTGTGTTTCAGAGCTTCTTTTTTTTTTTGTGAGTTTGAACAGCAATCACGAGTTAATTGGAGAGATGTTTTTAATTGGCATGTCTATCTGTAAGATATTCCACAGACAAATCCCTTCAAAGACTCCAGTTCATTTCCCCTGTGCAGCTGTATTGTTATTTGAATTTTCATTACTGCTCAAGTGAAAATCAAAATTGTATTGCTAGTAGTGTTTAGAATATATAATTGCAGAAAACTTCTTTAATTAAAATTTACTAGTGGGAGTTCCAGAGTCAGGTAGAGATTGGTAAAACTTCTGAATGCAGTGGCATACTAGGATCTCCCAAGTTATTTTTCTCAAGTTACAGGGACTTCCCTGTTCAACCATACTCTATGCTAAGGCTTTTTTGGTAAAACTGCTTTTGAGATAAAAGTTGCTGCCTCTAGAGGGAGACGGTCAATCTTTTTGTTTGATACAGCTGCTTTGCAGTTCCTTTTATTAAAAGTAGATTTAAAAGGGGCTCAGATAGCAATCTGACCCAGATCTCATGGGCTTCGCTGTTATCAAGGGCTATTTTTAATGTGATTTCTGCCTAGCTAGGTGCAGCAAAAGGAAAAATCAAGTATTCATCAGTGCTTTACCATAACAAGCTAATGTACTGACATTCTAATCCCTGAAGATAAGAGTATAATAGGTGGCAACTTTATCAGGGATTCATTTCTTTCTGAATAGTTTTTATTTCTATGAGTGCGCTGAAATTTTGGCTGTTATGGTGATGTGTTTTTTCTGTTTCGGAAATCTAGAACCTGAGAATACCAGAAGTTTTGGAGCTGGAAGTCTGAGCAGGCATTCTCATGCTTTTTCCTCTCAGTATTTTGAAAAATCTGGGACAAAATCATTTAAAAAAGCTGTTGAACAAGCAGATGAACTAGAAGAAAGCGCTGTCATGGGAGAAATGGAGGGTCTGGAAGAAGAGATAACTGATGATGAAGCTGAAATTGAAGAGCCTGAGAGTCAAGGTAAGAAAACTTTTGCAGTGGTAGAAGGCAGTTGGGGAATTTTTTCCCTGATATCTGACAATAAGTTGCAGAAAAACATAGATGAATAACATGATTAACCATTTAATCCATTAGATAGTAAAAGTGAAGCTGTTGGCTGCTATTCCTAGAGCAAATGGGAAGTGAAGGTTGCTACTGGCTTGTCAGGTGTTCCAGAGACCTTGACTATCTTGTACTTTTGAGATGAAGGTACACACACTATACAAGACTGAGTGCACAGTGGGTTTATACAGTGACTTAGAGATATCTTCCACTTTATGCTTACTGCCTTCCCGTCTCCTAACTTTACCCTGACTTTTTAACATCTGAACGATGAACTGCAGTATTCAGAGTCATTAGCATGACTCCGAATCTGTAAGCTAATTTAGAGCCCCATATTTTGTATGTGCAGTTATAGATTTTCCTTTCCATTTAACCAAAATAGTATGCCGATTCTCCAGGAAGCTGAGAGGAAATATCTATTTCTGAACTATTTCTGAAATATCTATTTTCTGAACTAATCTTGCCTGTGAGGGGAAAGGACAGGAGGAGGAGTAGACGAATTTTCCAAGTTAACAGCTGGCTGCGCCGCTGGTGTTGGCAACAGGGCTTTGGTTTCTATGACCATGGGACCCTGTTTGAAGATCAACAGCTGATGGGGAGCGATGGGATCCACCTTACCAAGCGGGGCACGCGCGTCTTTGCCAACAGATTGGCCAGCCTGGTACGGAGGGCTTTAAACTAGGCAAGATGGGGGAAGGGGAGTGGTATAGTGGCAGGGGAGTCAGTAAAACACCGCTCAAGTCAGGATGCCTCCAGCGGGTGCATACAGCCAGGGGAGACAGCATGGGACATGGCTATGGAGGATCCTCTTGCACCTCTTCTGGGAAGCCTGCGTGCTTGACTGGCTCTCTGAAATGCCTGTATACCAATGCACGCAGCATGGGGAATAAGCAGGAAGAGTTAGAGATCTGTGTGCGGTCGCAGGGCCATGATCTCATTGCAGTGACAGAGACATGGTGGGATAGTTCACATGACTGGGATGCTGTCATGGATGGCTATGTGCTTTTTAGGAAAGACAGGCCAGGAAGGCGAGGTGGTGGAGTTGCTCTTTATGTGAGGGAGCAGCTAGAATGTATGGAGCTCTGCCTCGGGGTGGATGAAGAGCAAGTTGAGAGCCTATGGGTAAGGATTAAAGGGCAGGGTAACATGGGTGACACTGTTGTGGGGGTTTACTACAGGCCACCTGATCAGGAGGAAGTCATCGATGAGGCCTTCTACAGACAGCTGGAAGAAGCCTCACGATCACAGGCCCTGGTTCTCATGGGAGACTTCAACCACCCTGACATCTGTTGGGAAGACAGCACAGCTAGGCACAAACAGTCAAAGAGGTTCCTGCAAAGCATTGATGATAATTTCTTGACCCAGGTGGTGGAGACGCCAACGAGGAGAGGTGCAATGCTAGACCTTGTACTAACGAACAAAGAAGGTCTAGTTGGAGATGTGAAGGTTGGGGGCAGCCTTGGCTGCAGTGACCATGAGATGGTGGAGTTCAGGATCCTGCGAGGAGGGAGCAGGGCAATGAGTAGGATTGCAACGCTGGACTTCAGGAGAGCTGACTTTGGCCTCTTCGGGGACCTACTTAGGGGAATCTCCTGGGGTAGGGCCCTAGAAGGAAGAGGGGTCCAAGAGAGCTGGTTAATATTCAAGCGTCACTTCCTCCAGGCTCAGGATCAGTGCATCCCTCTGAGGAAGAAGTTCAGCAAAGCGGGCAGGAGACCTGCATGGATGAGCAAGGAACTCCTGGCCAAACTCCAGCAGAAGAAGGAAGTGTACAGAATGTGGAAAAGGGGACAGGCCACTTGGGAGGAATACAGGGACGTTGTCAGAGCGTGCAGGGATGCGACAAGGAAGGCTAAGGCCCAGTTGGAATTAAATCTGGCAAGGGATGTCAAGGACAACAAGAAGGCCTTCTTCAAATACATCAATAGCAAAAGGAAGACTAGGGAAAACGTGGGCCCGCTGCTGAAAGGGGCGGGTGCCCTGGTGACAAAGGATACAGAGAAGGCAGAGTTATTGAATGCCTTCTTTGCTTCTGTCTTCACTGCTAAGGCCAGTCCTGAGGAATTCCAGACCTTGGAGACAAGAGAGGAAGGCTGGAGAAAGGAAGACTCTCCCTTGGTTGAGGAGGATCGGGTTAGAGATCTTTTGTCCAAACTTGACATCCACAAATCCATGGGCCCCGATGGGATGCACCCACGAGTGCTGAGGGAGCTGGCGGATGTTATCGCTAGGCCTCTCTCCATCATCTTTGAAAGGTCCTGGAGATCAGGAGAGGTGCCTGAGGACTGGAAGAAAGCCAATGTCACGCCAGTCTTCAAAAAGGGCAAGAAGGAGGAGCCAGGAAACTACAGGCCTGTCAGCCTCACCTCCATCCCGGGAAAGGTGATGGAACAGCTCATCCTGGAGGTCATCACTAAGCATCTGGAGGACAAGAAGGTGATCAGGAGTAGTCAGCATGGATTCACCAAAGGGAAATCATGCTTGACCAATCTGATAGCCTTCTATGACAGAATGACTGGCTGGGTAGATGAGGGCAGAGCAGTGGATGTTGTCTTTCTGGACTTCAGCAAGGCTTTTGACACTGTCTCCCATCACATCCTCCTAGGTAAGCTCAGGAAGTGTGGGCTAGATGAGTGGACGGTGAGGTGGCTTGAGAACTGGCTGGATGGCCGAGCTCAGAGGGTTGTGGTGAATGGCGCAGAGTCAAGTTGGAGGCCTGTGGCTAGTGGTGTCCCCCAGGGGTCAGTCCTGGGCCCAGTCTTGTTCAATATATTCATCAATGACCTGGAGGAAGGGACAGAGTGCACCCTCAGCAAGTTGGCTGATGATACTAAACTGGGGGGAGAGGCTAACACACCAGAAGACTGTGCTGCCATTCAGAGGGACCTGGACAGGCTGGAGAGGTGGGCGGAGAGGAACCTCATGAAGTTCAACAAAGGCAAGTGCAAGGTCCTGCACCTAGGCAGGAATAATCCCATGCACCAGTACAGGCTGGGGACTGACCTGTTGGAAAGTAGCTCTGCCGAGAAGGACCTGGGAGTGCTGGTGGACAACAAGTTAAACATGAGCCAGCAGTGTGCCCTTGTGGCCAAGAAGGCCAATGGGATCCTAGGGTGCATTAGGCAGAGTGTTGCCAGCAGGTCGAGGGAGGTGATCCTGCCCCTCTATTCAGCCCTGGTGAGGCCTCACCTGGAGTACTGTGTCCAGTTCTGGGCTCCCCAGTACAAGAGAGACATGGCACTCCTGGAGAGAGTCCAGTGGAGGGCTACCAAGATGATTAGAGGGCTGGAGCATCTCTCCTATGAAGAAAGACTGCAAGAGCTGGGCCTGTTCAGCCTGGAGAAGAGAAGATTGAGAGGTGATCTCATCAACGTGTACAAGTATCTGAAGGGGGAGTGTCAAGAGGCTGGGGCCAGCCTCTTCTCTGTGGTGCCCAGCAACAGGACAAGAGGCAATGGGCAGAAACTGAACCACAGGAAGTTCCATCTGAACCTGAGAAAAAACTTCTTCACTGTGAGGGTGGCAGAGCATTGGAACAGGTTGCCCAGAGAGGTGGTGGAGTCTCCTTCGCTGGAGATATTCCAAACCCGCCTGGATGTTATCCTGGGCAATATGCTCTAGGTGACCCTGCTTGAACAGGGAGGTTGGACGAGATGATCTCCAGAGGTCCCTTCCAACCTAAACGATTCTGTGATTCTGTGATTCTGTGATTCTATTTTTTAGACACTGCTTCAGTCTACTGCATTGCTCAGGGGTATTTATGCCTTTTCAGAGAACTGTAGTTCCAACTGAGTTCTCTGCTGCTCAAGGCCACATTTGAGATTGCCCAGAGCACATCTCAGTGATATCTTTTGGGACTGGTCTTAAAATCTTTCAAAGTACAATAAACCCTGGAATGAGAAACTTAAGAAGAGGATTTCCAAAAGAATCCCGTTGCCAGGACTTGAGGCATTGTGGGGCGATATAGCTATGTTGAAAACATCTGTGCCTATGGGCATTTGTGCAGTGTGAAAGGTACAAAGAGGACAACTGGACGTGTACGCTGTTGCCAAAAGGAAAGCTATAGGTGTTTTTAGTCAAGCTGTCTAGAATAGTTTGCCAACATGCTTATCTTTAGCGCAGCTCTATATGCACGGATGAAGAGATTTCTGCAGTGCCAACAAGGTGGAATAGTAAGATTAGCATCTTTCTTATCTTATTGGACGAGGACAGGAGGAAAGACAGGAAGATGAGGAATAATGCACTCTAGTCATAAAATGTACCTTGGAAACCTCTGAGCGTAACTCACCTCTTCCCCTGCATACTGCTTCCTGTCCCTCCAATGCACTGACATATTTGCTCAGAAGAGGCTAACACAAGGAACCATAATAGTTCGCCCAGCTCTGCTTTCCCTGAAACTCTTGACGATTAAGTCATAGAGTTTAACTCTCACTAGTACTTGGGGCCTCCGGTAGTTCGGCTTGTCTTCTATAATGGGAGTGGTGCCCTGGCTCTTAGGGAGGTTTGTGAAGTTGAAACCAGTACCAAATATGCTGGATTCTTGGGCTGTGCTCAGCCTGCAAAGGAAACTGGCAGGCAATAAGTCATAGACTGACCCTTGTAATGTGATTTTTATTGCTGTGCTCATCAGGAGAATTTGACACTTATTTAACAGGATGGCAACAAGGAGTTCTCAGACTTTGAAGTTCCCTCTGGGAACTGAGGCTGCAGCTTCCTGGCAGCCTAAGCTGATATAGCCATTGGCCCCTGCAGCCTGTCCCTGCATGTGTGTTTGTACACCCCCATAGCCTACTAGTCCATCAAAACCTGATGGGCTGGACCTGGCACAAGGGGAGATGCTGAAGTGCGTGGCTGGAGATGGGGGGGATGGAATTGCAGCAGCCAGCAGGTACACTGACTTAGGGTGCTATGGAGCCACAGCCAGAGTGCAGGCAGTATGGTACCAGATCAGATACATAGGAAGCTGACTAGACTTCTGTCTGCTGCTACAGCAGCACTTGCAGCAGGAACTCTGGAAATAGAATTGAGTTCTTCAAGTAGTTCATCCTTTCTCTCCTTAGAGATTTCTATGAAGACACCTGCATTCATCCACGCTGCAACCTACAAGCCACTTTCTTTGCTGTCATCTCCACGTCCTGCAGAATCTGCTGTTCCCAAGTAAGTATAAGCAACCAGCAGCAGTAGTCTGATACAAGTGTGTCTGGAGAGGTGTAATTATCAGGATGAGAGTCAAGACATATTCTTCTGATGTTTAATGCAGGGAGCCCAGCTCTGTCAGTTCGTGCTTTATTAGCTGTCTTAGGGAGAATGGAGTCCTGACTGCTGGCTTTAGCAGCTGAATAAAAATTGCTATCAAGTGAATTTCAGTATTTCAGAGCAGATCTGAGGCCTCAAGCCTTTCCAATGAATGATCATTTAATCTTGTGCTGAAGACCAAGAATTTTTCCTAAACTGCTGAGATAGCCTGGAGCCATAAACTCCAGTATGGGATGCAGAGACCCTTGCAGAAGTGGGTTACAGCTTCTCTGATCACATTGAATGGCATATTTGTTTTGACTTTAGAAGCCTAAAGCTGTATGCAATTGCTTCTGAGTGTAAGATGAAGCTAACTTAGAGGCAGAAAGTGAACTTCTCTGCGTTACTCCAGCTTAATTAGAAGCTTGTCACTTAACTAGAAGTTTGATGAAGCCATAAGCTTCATCAAAACCAGTAACAGTGGGATCTAGGGAACAGAAGAAATTTTCTAGCCCATGACTTTTTAGTTTTTTGCTTATTGAAGCAATAAAGAATAAAAATGAATTTTTGTACCATATACTGTTGTGAACAGAGATGAACAATGCTTACAGAAGGGGTTGGATGGTTGTTCTAAGCACAAATGATAGAATGTACTTATAAAATAGAAGAAGGAGCCTTTGGTGATACTTTGCTGAAGTGGAACTATGCTATAACTGAATAAATGTGGATTTGCTTTGGGATTTTGTACTGGTACATGTTCTTTTTGTATCTAGAGAATGTCTGAATGCTAATTATTCTGCAGAGAGAGCTGGTCTTCACTGGCAAAAAAAAGTCATGTATTTGGATGCACATTCTTTACAGAAATTCCTGAACATTAATAGACTCTGACAGATTTTCAGGTTTTCAAGCAGCACTGAGAAAACAGATGTTCATAATAATAGGCTCAGAGCCTAGACTTCAGGAAGTGGTTGGAAAAAAAGTGAATGGTTTGTTTGCACTTTGTGTAACCTATGCTAGCTCTGAGTTGGTCTGCTTGTTTCCCGAGAGGACGTTATGCAGGTTAAAAGCCTGAGAAATATTCTAGATTATGAAGTGGAGTAAAAACCATGAGAGAACCATGGTGATGGTGTTGTGCTACAAAATAATCTCTTTCTACTCGTAGAATTCTACTATGCTCAGCTATATCAGAGTAGTTATAACTGAGCATAGTATTTTTTATTTAAAAACACTAAAACCTTCTATAGTCACTGAAATTCAAATTTTGCCCCATTCCTGTGAGCGACTCATGAATAATCACTCACAAGCAGGTAAACTGAGGATAGAAACGGTACCAAGATAACTTAAATCACGACTGGCTTTTGTCTCACTGCTATACCTGCTTCATCTCTGGAGCTGATCTCTTCCACCTGTCTCTGATGTTCTAACAGAAAAACATGTAGATGAGCTGGAGAGAGAATCAAATGATATGTGCACACCATGTATGGGTTTTGTATTTGTTAGTCTGAGATTAAAAGCTTATTTTTTGTTGTTTCCCACTTGTCTGCTGAGTGAAATTGGGGATGTCATTTCCCCTTTTTGTGTTAGAATTTTTCCTCTTTAGAATGGAAAACAGTAGTAATTTCCTTTTGGTACTTACAGTAAGAAATAGCTGTTTAAAAAAAAAAGAAAAAACAAAACACAAAAGTGATATTCATAATAGAGCACTGGCTGAATGGCAGAGCTCAGAGGGTTGTGGTCAGCAGTGCAGTCTAGTTGGTGGCCTGTAGCTAGTGGTGTCCCCCGGGGCCAGTACTGCGTCCAGTCTTGTTCAATGTATTCATCAATGACCTAAAGGAAGGGACAGAGTGCCTCCTCAGCAAGTTTGCTGATGATACAAAGCTGGGAGGAGTGGCTGACACACCAGAAGGCTGTGCTGCCATTCAGAGGGACCTGGACAGGCTGGAGAGCTGGGTGGAGAGGAACCTCCTGAAGTTCAACAAAAGGCGAGCGCAGGGTGCTGCACCTAGGCAGGAAGAACCCCAGGCACCAGGACAGGCTGGGGGCTGACCTGCTGGAAAGCAGCTCTGCAGAGAAGGCGCTGGGCGTGCTGGTGGGCAAGAAGTTAAGCATGAGCCTCAAGCATAAGCATGAGGAGTGTGGCCTTGTGGCCAAGAAGGCCCAGGGTATCCTGGGGTGCGTTAGGAAGAGCGTTGCAAGCAGGTGGAGGGACTCTCCTGTGAAGAAAGGCTGAGAGAGCTGGGCCTGTTGAGCCTGCAGAAGAGAAGACTGAGAGGCGATCTCATCAATGTGTACCAGTAGCTGAAGGGAGGGTGTCAAGAGGCCAGACTCTTTTCAGTGGCACTTAGCGATAGGACAAGAGGCAACGGGCATAAACTGCAACACGGGAAGTTCCGTCTGAACCTGAGGAAAAACTTCTTTCCTGTGAAGGTGACAGAGCACTGGAAGAGGTTGCCCAGGGAGATTGTGGAGTCTCCTTCGCTGGAGATATTCAAAAGCTATCTGGAGGTGATCCTGGGCAATGTGCTCTAGAGGACCCTGCTGGAGCAGGGGTGTTGGACTAGATGATCTCCAGAGGTCCCTTCCAACCTCAACCATTCTGTGATTCTGTAATAGCAGTAAGTTATAATAAGTTGTTGTGGGACATCTGTTCCATGGAAGAAGATTGCATCTGCTAAGTCTTGTCAACACATGAAAATTGTTGAATAAACCTTGCAGGTCAGACTCTCTTAACTGCAGATATGCAGCTGGCTTATGGATGCATCAAACTTCATGTATTCCTGAAGAGTGAGAAACAAAAAGAGCTGTAGCACAACATGATTGCATTTATGCATTGGAGAGAACTGTAGTTTGCTGAATATTCATTGTGCCAGCATGCTTATCTCTGAAAACTTGAGCTTGAATTGCCAAGGTCATAATGCCATGTGAGCTGTTTGCAAAGGCATGAGTGTTCTGAGGGGCTGGGAGGGGAAAACAAATAAAAGATTGAGCTAGTTCTTAGCCCCTTCAAATTCAGCATAGGTTTTGTCCAAACTCAGCTCGGTGTTCTCTGTTTGTACCCTCTCCCATGTATTTGCTAGTTTGATGTGTGAATTTTCAATTTCCCTCAAAGGTTTCCCCTACAGCCAGTGCGAGCTAAGCCAGTTCTAAAGAGTTCAGGAGTATCACAAAGGAAAATGCGTGAGCCTGGACTAGCAAGCAGTTTGATAAAGAAGATATTTAGCCATTATGTGAAAATGCCGGTGGCCAGAGATGCGTTCAGGATTGTTAAAAAATGGTGAGCAGCAGCCAACTGTTCCTCCTTGCCCTCTTCTCAACCTTTTTTCTTTCTTTTCACTCCTGAAACAACAAATGAACCTCTCAGCAGACCTGCTGACAAGCTTTTGGCCCTCCCTCAGCCCTTCCCTACCTCAGCTGGGGAGAAAGCAGGAAGAAGTGCTATTAAAAAAGGGACAGAAATTGCTGGGTGCTCTTAGTCACTGTGTGGGCATCAGTGACCAACACTGCCTTGTAGAAGCTTCTGTTTTTTGTCCAAACCAGTAGAAACTGCACCATTTACTATCTTATCTTGCTAGTGGCACCCTAAAATCATTAGTACTCTCTCAGTGAGCAGGATGGTTCTGGAAAATGGTCTGTGTGTCAGGCTGGGCAGGGTGAAGTCGTTCCAGCTGTGCAGTGTTATGACTAAATCCAGATTTTCTCAGGTTTTTGAATCTGTAGACCATGTTACTTTCCTGAAGGAAATCCATGGATTGGTTGAACAGTTTCACCATAATAGCTAATAGTGTAATCCTTAATCTTCATTGGTCACTTGTGTTAGCCCCTGTTCTGCTTGTATGTGTGCAAATCTAGGGACAGGTTTTGATTTTTAAATGTGCAGCTGTTTTACAGATATCTGGCATATTCAGCATCACCAGGAGTCTAGGGAGCTCAGGCTGAGAAGCCATTGTCAGGCTAGGGTGGTTCTCCTTCTGCTGTTGTCCCTGGCAGGCCTTGCTGCACTGTGAGCAATTGTAATGCAATTTGGCCTGCGGAATTGGGAATAGCTTGTTTTCGCATAGTCCACAGCCTGATTTTATTTTCTTCCTCCATTCTCCTTCAGCTCTGAGAGGTACTTCAGGCAGCTAAGCAATGATCTGGAAGCTTACACCCAGCATGCAGGGAGGAAGACAGTGGAGGTGGCTGACCTGGAAGTCCTCATGAGAAGGTAAAGGAAGGCTATGATTAATCTGTATGAGCATTAGGTGATGCATTGATATCCTAGTAAGGTTATAGGTGTGCACTAGCAGTATTTCCACAGTAACTGTGATATCTTGTGACTTCCTCTGTAAAACAGTATGGGGCCTGAAAGATTTCTCACCCTTCATCTAAAGTCATCTAAGTTGTTATTCCTAGTCTCTGCTAGAAGTTTCAAATGGAATGTTAAAGTAATTTCAGGGATTTTGCAGGGCACATCTGATTCAAGACAATGGTTTTGCATGGGCCTATGTAGATGGAGCTACTGCCACTGATTAAAAGATTAATCTGTTGCTATCCTTAGATTTTGATTTTCCTATCTGATGAGTGTGTGCTGGAATTAGTATGAATAAGCTGAGAGGTGTGATGGGTTAACTGGCTGCGTTTGTGGGTTCTGTACCTTTATTATTTTACCTTTTTCTGGATGTCTTTATGCCTTACCAGTGCCTCATCCAGAGATCAGGAATTGTTGCTTGTTCAGGAACAAGAAAAATATTTCATTTCCTTCCATAAGGAAAAGATGGATCAGTACAGCTGTTTTTCCTTCTACAATACTCGGAGATTATTTTTTCAGGTCAATCAGCCAAATGGTTTACTAGGAAAAATACATAGCCTACACATTTGACAATGTCAACCACCTCTGAATTGTGAATGCATGTAAAAATCTGTTGGGTAATTCATTATTTATTTCTGTTACATCCCTCTATGTATGTCTGTAAGTGATAAAATTTCTTCCATGTCAGGTGGATTGCTGTCACTGTGGCATACAAGTACATCTACAGAAAGCCAGCATGCAGTAACTCTTCTGGCCCACTTTCATGCGTAAACAAGCCTGGCATCTTCCCCCAAGAATGTTGCTTGCAAATAGAAGTATATAGCTTTCCTATCACAGGCAGCCACAGCATATGCATTTCAGATATTCAGTGCAACAATGTCACTGCAAACAAACTTAAAAAATCTTTAATATGACATTAAGCTTGAGTGAAAACACTTTTTGCTAACAATTTTCTGTTTCTTCTCTACTTTCCTCCTTTTGAACCAAGACAAGGGCTGGTGACAGACAAGATGCCGTTACGTGTGCTGATAGAGCGTCATCTTCCTCTGGAATACAGGAAACTACTGATTCCGGTTGCCGTGAGTGGAAATAAAATAATTCCCTGCAAATGAGCATGCCCCTCTGGCAGTGATGACGTCCGTGGATGGGAATATTGCCTGCTCACGGAGGCTAGCTTTACATACTCAATGTATCTGGTCAGTGTGACAGTTTTCCGTAGATAAGCAATAAGCAGCCAGTAGAGATTCTCTTGAATTGATTCAAGTTCTGCTGTAACTATCATGCCAGCCTACTGGATCTCACCAACTATTATTATAAGTAATTTGATTATCCTATATTTTTATGTATATTACTTATGAATACTTGTACAGTTTTGTTAAATAAAATGTGGTATGTACTCTGCATGATAAAAATGCTGTTTATTCCAGTGAGCTGAAAGGTTACTGGGTGTCTGTCTGCTGCATTGTTCAAAATGTTCCTAATAGACATTCAGCTGTGCTGATGCTCTTCATACTAACTAGATGCTCTTCATACTAACTAGGTGCTTGCTCAAAGGAGAAAAGTTATGTACTGTCTTATGAAAGGAATAAGATACCCTTGTTATAGCTATATATTTGTCTAGCGCAAGGACTTTCGAACTCAAGGCCTTGTCCCCCTTTTCAAGTCTAGTCTAGTCCACTGTGTCAAGAGAGGATCATAATTCGTTGATGACAACAGCTATTTAACGATGTCAATGGCAACCGGAAAACACATATAAGAAAACTCATGGAGAATTAGCAAGCAATAATTTAAGACCATTTGAGAAAGGCAGATCTTCTGCTTCATGCATGGTAGATAAAGGAGTGGGAGAGATTGAGACAGATTGAGTTACTGCATGTTACTTGCAGCAAGGAATTCTTGTAGCAATGGAAAGCACCAACTGTGTCTCTTCTCAAGCAGTTAGCCCAACATTGTAATTTCTTAATCACTGACTCCCTTGTGGATCAGAAATGGTGGCTCTCCAACCCTCAAGGTTTACATTGAATTTGTATATATACAAAAATGTATCTGGAAAATCATTACTCCAGTCAGGCAGCGTCCTTAAGAAGGAAAGCAGTGCCAGATGCTGGTGTGTGAAGCAAGGTCCAGCTCTGAGAGCTGCATTTGCAGTTTGCTCTGCAGAAGTCAGCCTGCTCCATGTATCACAGCAGCATTGTGTGGCTGCCTGTTTCATGATCCTAAGCAGCAGCAGAGCCCCCAGGTATCTTCTGGTTCTATGCAGTGACAGTGTAAGTAACTAGCAAGTGAAAATAAATCCTCTGTATGTTCGACAGCCCACCCATGCGGTGTCTGTTATTATACTCATAGCATGAACCACAGCACCACTAAGCTTTTCTACTGCTGATTTTATATAGTCAATTGGTTGCTACACAGAGGGGATGTTCAGCACCATGTTCACTAATGAAGGTTGTCAAACAGGAGAAATAAAACCCTTGTGTCCTTCAAGTAGGGAGGAGACAAGAAGAATGAAATCCTTGTAGGGGATTTTACTGAATACAGTGAACCTAAACCACACCATGAATGAGGCCAGCCACATCCAAGGATTTGTGAGATGCAAAGAACAACAGTGGCTTTCTAAAACAATTCACAGGCTGGGAAAGAATGACCTCTATCACCTCATACAACTTTCAGAAGGATGGATGTCACACTCTTGCATGTTGTTCACTGAGTACGGTCTTCAGTGTCTTCCCAGGAGGTCTGACTTGCATGCAAGTAGCTAGTCTGTAGTACCCAAGGTAAGATGCTTAAAGTGACTATTTATTTTCTGTAGGGAA